CTGACAAGTGCTCCAAGCTCTCCCAGGCTATGTGATTTTGCTTCTGATTATGCTGAATTTTCCAGAGTATGCATATGGAAGAGGATTGGTAGTTCCCAAGCCTAAGGAGAATGTGCCAGGTGTCCATGACATCTGCTCCATTCCTTGTGTTCTCTTGAAGTACCTGGGAGGCCTTCAGTTTTCAGGACATGGGCTCAGAACTCCACTCTTGCTAAAGTCTGAGCACCACTTCACTGCAAAACCATCAGCACCACAAACATAAGAAACCATATATTGTTACCATTTTATAGAAGGACTGGGGGAGGCTATGTAATTTTCACATTTTCAGTGCTAAAGAAAGAATATGTTTTTTCTACTAGCTCAGAATAAGAAAAATCTCTCTGATATGAAACACAGACAAGAAGAAACTCCAACCCCATTTGAGCTTTGCTGTAGGGTTTATCAGTCACAAATCAGCCCAATAACAGAGGCAAGGCAAAGAAGGTACAGGAAACCCAGCTCTGCAAAATGACACGGGGTGGAAGCTCCCCAACTTCAAGAAACTAATAATCAACCAGAATAATGGGGTGTCATGGCACAGAAGTGAAGAGAGAACCGTGAGTCTGGTTGCTGAAGATGTACTGCATAACAGGAATCTGGCACAAGCCAGGCTGTATGGAAGACCCATGTGAGACAGAGACAAGATCAGGCCTGAATATAAAGTGCAGAAGCCACTTGTGCTTTGAGTGAGAGGAGCACAAGTGCAATGGGAAAGTCAGACTGTTCTTTGGAACTGCTCTTCCAAAGATAAACATGTTCCAGGATAACTGGATGCTGTGACAGAAAGAGCTGAAGTCCTCTGGAATTTAACTGTCTTCATTTGGCATTAGGACAACAGACTTTAGGGGGGAGTGAAAACCTATGAGAACTCAGTACCAAACTTGAAATTTTACAACATATCTTAAGAACTAAATATTAAACTTCTGAAAACTAAATACCAAATAAATATCACTGAGGACATGGAGTATACACATAGCTTTTCTGCAAATGCTTAAAAAGTAGTTCTAAGACTAGACCTTTGTAAGGTATTTTTGGTTCAGTGCTGAAAATATGACAAGATTTTGCTTATGGTACTTAAAAGGAAATGGTGTCACCACTCCTCAGTGAGCTCTGCTCACAGCACCACTGCATGGGAGCCTTGAAATCTCATTCAGACACATAATTCTAAGAGCCAATGGAAACAAGCGAATTAGATACTTCTTCTTTAGAATTAAAAGGAATTTCTGAAGAACTAATGACGTAAGAATGCAACCACCATCCTTTATTGCATTATCAGTGGAGATTTTAGTTACCATTAAAAAGGGTTTTTGTAGTGCCCAGTTTGGCAAAACAGCCATAAGGCTATGAGGTGTCTATCAAGGTTTTCAGACATCCATATATCTGCCTTCATCTGTATTTTTCGCAGTAATGACATTGCAAACACAGTAACACTACCAGAGTCAGATTTAGCTCCTGTTCACAACAGAGTAAAAGGTTAGAATTTCAATGACAGGAATATCTACTATAAAAGGGAGCTAGTAACAAATATAAAGTTGTTTTTTTAAAGTACACATTGCTATTTGTAGGGTCATAAAATGGGCTGTGTGTCACTCATAGCTACCACTGAGCAGGATATCCTTGGTCCAGAGGACTGCATTTAAAGTGCACATAATGCTAGGGCTTCATATGGCCTTTGTCAGCATCCTGATTTTTATTCAAAATCAAATTTGGATTTTGCTTCAGTTGGATTATTCTTTGGGTAATAATCAGTCTGGAGAGAACCCTACTTATCTCTCTGCAAAAGGATTTAAAAATCTACAAGTTATAGCCTGACCAACAGTGCAAAAGATCTGGCTGGAACGATCTCAGATACTTGGAACTGTCTGATGTCAAATCCTCAGGATAAGATTGCAAATGCTCACAATGCACCTGGTGTAACAAGCAGGCTTGTTGGCCCTTGCTTATTTTTACTGCATCTGGTATTTCAGCTCATGCATATGAACTTTTTCCTATTAAGTAATTTGCTTAATATCTTTACACTGGGAGTTTATCTTACATTGAATCAAATAGAGTTTATTAATTTCATGTGTTGCCTGATAATGTCATCTAAACACAACATGTTAAGAGACAGGGAAAGCACAAACAACCCTCTAAACCCATGAGTCTCAGCCCATTATGCCAGGAAAAAATACTGAGTTATGAAACTCCTTCCTATATGTCACAATAAAAACTATGCCTGTATTCTGGCCCATTTATGTACACTGAATTGAGAGGCAACTACAAATTCAATGCTTTGTTTGAAAACAACAATTTAAATTACAGCTAACAAGTACATCAGAGGCAATGTTCCTCTGATTCAGTTCTGCTTGTTTCAGGTCTTATGCCATGGGGTTAAAGCATGAATTCTTAACAATGCTTAAATTCTTAAGTCTTTGGACTTAATGTGAAAAAGATTCTCATTAAATTATATTTTGTCACTTTTCTTATTCTCAAATGTACAGAAGAATAAACTCAGCTTACTTTAAAAAGATAAATCATCTCAGGAGTCCAAATGGAGGTAAATGTAAGTATGGATTAAAAAAAAATCTAATAAAACTTTTCAATTTGAATATTTTAAGACAAAACTGCATATAATGATGACCAATTATTATGCCATACCTATCCAAGCAATTATATTAGGTAAAAATCATACAGTGGTACATTCTTCTGAAGTTTCACAAAAAGTAGACCTTCAAAAATATTTTAACACCGCATCACCTTTGCCAAATTCTACTCCTTTGAACAAATAAAATCTTGGGCTATGGGCTGAGTAAAGTATTTCATTCCAATATATATTTGAAACAGGACAGCATCGTCTGGTATGACCACAAGGTGGTGATGAAAGGGTAACTGGAGTGGGTTTTTTAATATGCTAAGATCACCCACAAGTCAAATGTGTGTTATCCCAACTGCCTGGTTTTATGTACTGAACAATGAGCTAAATAAGGATTAAATATTTTGCTTTATTTTTCTAAATAAGGAAAATAAGGATTATTAGACAACATGTTTTGAAACAGCTGTGAAAGTGACATTTTGGATCCCAGTGAACTCCAGCAAAACCCAGGGGCTAGAACTGAGGAAAAGGGTCCGTTTTCTCCTCTAGAAGAAGCAAAAGACCCATCTCTCAGATCCTGCTGCGACAATCACTGAAAAGTAGGGTGGAACGTAAATAGAAACAACAAGAGAACTCTGTAACATAGATGGGAGGTTACTTTGAAAGTAATTTCTGGTCTTTCAGTATTTCTGGTGAAACAGAAGCTTGTAACACATTTCCCAGCAGATACATCAAGCAAAGAGAAAAGGTAAATTTACAGATTCTTTCTCACAGACTGCATGGGTGATCAACTTCATCACATTTAAATATTAGTTATTTCAGCTGCATAGGCCAAGTATTTTTAAGAGAGTTGCATTATTTGAGTTCTCAGATATTTTTTTTTTTTTTACTCAAGACAGTACCTAAAAAGATTTGATGTATCTGTAGGGTACAGAGCCTGGGCTGAACTCTGTGTTACAAGTGTTCTCCAGTGACTTCTGTTCTGTTTGTTCTGATCCTTCTGGACTTTAATTTTGCTCTTTGATTCTCACAGAAATCAAATACTAATATGTTTCAAAAAACCTCATTGATTTCAAGGCATTAACTATATATGCCATTTCATATACAGCCATTTTGTCTTCTAGATGGTATTACTGAACAAAGTCTTGGCAGGGTAAAGTTGGAAAGCTTGAGCTAGTCTAGGTAATGAAGTAAATGTATGTATCCCAAACTACCCTGAAAGCAAGCAGAATATTTAATCACAGAAGATTTAATTATCTGTTCAGACATTATTTGGATCACAATAATATATTGAAAAGTTGATCTGGGGAGAAAACAAAGCTGCCATACTCTTGCTGCATATTAACTGAAAGCCATGCAAAACTCATTAGTAAGCTACTTCTGGTATTTATAACTTATCAGGGTAAACAGCTCCTTTTTGCAGGGCTCAGGTTGTAAATTTGGATTATAATCAAAGGGCACAGGGTTCAGAAAGGCAGCCCAAAGTGGGAAGTTTAAAATGCTCTACTCAGTACCCCACTTCTGTCTCATCAAAATTCATGTTGCAGCATTTCCTGGATTTTAGTGCTGCTTCATTCTACTTTCAGCATTTTTATCTTAAAGAGTAGCTACAGCAGTTTCTAAAGAAAGAACAGAACAGCATGAGGAAGCATGTCCCCAAATTACAGTTTTTGAGCTTCTGACTCACTGTCTTTTTCTTCTTGCTATTCAGACAAGCTTGCCAAACACTGGGGTATTGCAAATGTCAAATGTCACCACTCATATTCACCAGTATCTAGTTTAAAAAATATGACCTGATTAAAATATAAAACTCCAAATTTATCACTACCATCATGTTCTTTGCTTCACCTGAAGTGTTGTCAGTATTGCCAAGTTCCCAAATTAAGTGATATTTGTAGATCTGCCCCAGATGGATCCACGTGTTTCTGAGATCTCATGTTTTAGTCATTGTTGTTATAGAGCAAAATCACCCAAGCAAATGCAGTTCTTTGGCAATGATATGAATAATGGACAGCAAGCTGAGAAATTATTTTTTCCATTTTCAGGGATATCCAGGCTCTATTTTCCAGATCATATAAATGACATATACCAGTCTGTGCCAGATTGGCCTCATTTGTTCTGCTGTAGAAAGCCAAGCTGATTTCTTGTTATACATCAGTATCAGAAAAAAAGAACTGTTAGGTTAGCAAGTCTGCTAACATGGGAGAAGCCCATGGGCTCTCAATTTCCAATTTATGCATTCCCATCATAGCACAGGCATCATATTTATGGGATACATGTAGCCTTGGGAGTGGAGCTTCTCTGGGACAAAAGCAACATTTAAAATTCACTTATAAAAAGTAAAGGTGACAGAATGAGCCAGTAGAAAAACTGAAAGAGAAATCTTTACCTCTAGACTATCCTGTACTCCCCTGATCAAGTCTGCCTTCCTCAGAAAATATCAAGAACAGCACCATGAAATCAGGAAATTCCATCCTGCACATTAAAATAATTGAGACTGTCAGGAAAAATCAAGGCTTGATGAATAAACTGACGTTTCTGGAGTTATACCAGAGATTCTTTTGGATTTAGACATCTTAATTAAACCAACTTTAACTGAACTGCTATGTTCTTCTCATCTCACACCAATTCAAGGCAGGAAAAGGAAGTAATTTTACATTAGCCCATAAATGAGCAGTGTGTATCCTTATCACCAGACATTGTTGAAATAAGAAAGAAAGCAAGCCTGCATAAAACATAAATAATGAATTATGGTAAACATGAGAAATTAGAAAAATGCAGGCACAATACTGAAGGAGATACTAAGCTTTATGTACTGTCATTTAAACCAATACCTAACTCCTGAAGATAAGAAAGTGTCTTGCATCTTTGAATGATCTGATGCTGGACTTGAATGTCTTCAATAGAAATGGAAATATCCATTCTACTAGAATCATCTGCTCTCACCCTTACTGCAAAGTAAGACAGAAATAATTGTCTAAACCTGCAAAATCAGGCAGAAGAAGAACCTGCTTCTGTTTACACATGCAGCATCTGTTGCAGAAAATGAAGTCAATACCTCTACACCCTGCAAACATCTCCATCCACCAGTCTGTTTCCACTAACCTCTATTGACTTATGGCAGAAAAAAATTCCCCACAGATTCTCATGTTTTCTTAGTCTGGCTACTTTAAATAACAGAGGATAGGTCACATACAGCCTTAGTATTCTGTACAGCTACAGTGGGGATAATAGACACAGCACAGTATTCAGAGCAGTGCCAAGGTTAGTCCCAAACTAGCTGAGCTAGCAGATTTCCAGGCCACATCATTGGAGTGCTGCAAAGGATTTTTAAATGCAAAACTTCCTTCTTCATATCCTTAGCTTGCCTATTGTGAGAGATTGCTAGGGAGCATCTCCATTGGAAAGAAATAGCCTCACTCTTTGTTGTCAAGTGAAGACATCCTGTTCATTTCTTAAGTATCTAAGGAATCAGAGAAGTGAAACATCTTCCTGTTGTAAAAGCAGAGCCTTAAAAATTCCTCATTTCTTTGCAACTTCCTGGCCAAAGAAAAGAGGGGCAGACTCCAGTGCTTTGGGTATCCATAAGTGAGGGGAGTTAGGCTTCATCTGGAAGTTCCTGCCCCTTTCCTCTGATGAAACACATGTCAGTTCATCCGGTCCTCTGAGCCACTTCCTCCTCACTTTTCAGTCATTTGCTCTCAGAGCACTTTTGCAAGTAAGCCCAGTGTTCCTTGCACAGTCTGGAGCTTTGTTCAAGGGGAGCCTTGCTGGGAGGTAGGCTAGAACATAACCACAGTGTATCACAAAATAAAGCTCCTAGGCATCGTGACCTGCTCAGGAGCCTGGGCGGGTGAATATCATGTGTTTTAAGGATCTTAATGCTGATTCCAAGAGAGCCACAACATTTCATCCCAGCAGAAGCTGTGTGCATTTGGTGTGTCAGTGACCCAGGACTGGCTCCAAGTAAGCTGATGGGCCATTGCATTGAACTGGGTGGACTCTTCCATCCCCAGCAGGTAGCACAGAGCTGCACACACAAGTTGCTGTGCCCTGGTTGTATGCAGAGCTCTGCTGACTTCACTGCTCAGCTTCTCTGTCTGAAGCCAGCTCAAAGCCAGCCCAGGGAGCTCTGCACTGTCAGCATCTGCACAGCATGGACATGGCCTGCAGAAGCTGTTAGAACTGGACTCTCAGAAGTGATGGGAAACAGAATTTCAGACTAGGTTGTAGGGGGTTAATACTTTTATCACCTACACTCAACCCCAGCAGCTCTTTGAAACATGAGTAATATTTTATTTACCTACACATGTGTATAAAGGGTTAAAAACAACTCTGAATTCAAAGTCGGGTCCCCCAGTTTCAGTCTTGTTATTTAATGTAAGCTTCCCTGAACGGAGAAGGACTCTGGGAATGTGGGCTTCACCTTAGCATTACCTACCCTCCAGTAGGAGTTTTGTAAAAGGAAATTTATTCTCATCAGGACTTTCAGGTGCGTGGGTGTTTCTAGGAATAAGCAGCACCCAACCACAGAACAACCAGGAAGAAGCTTTATAAGCATATTGTGCCACTTTGCTGCCACAAAAGTTATAAATTATATCTCCATAGCCAGCTTTCTGCATTATGCTGTTCTATAAGGGGGCTTGCTGTGTGCTGGGATCCGTGAGCTGGGAAATGACCACTACACACTGGCCTTCATGGCATGGTGAACACAAAAGAACACAGATTCCAGAGTCTGCAATTGCAAATATTCAGACAATCAAATCTGAGCAGACCTGTCAATCATGGTCCAGGCAGACTGGATGAACTCTGTTAGATCAAGAAATGGAATCGCTGGAGGAACATTAAAGTGCATCAGCTAAGTAGATAGAGAAGTTTTGCATCTACCTGCACAAAAAATGATGCTATGGGTACTTTCATTTTCTCTTTCACATACCTCCATGTGCAAAATTAAAGTATTTGTTACAGAGTATGCAAATAAAATTTCTGAATTTCTTTTTCCACCATTGTAACAAGTTCTAGATTTTAAGACAAGTTGGGGTGAGCACTTTGTAACTGAAACAGATCTGTCAGTACATAGAGAATCATGATCCTTTCCCATAACCATTTCCAACTTCAGAGATACACTAATTCATTTGCAGACTACCTGAATCTTTAGGATTCTCAGCTGACATAGAAAGAGACAGCAGGGAGAGTTCTTACATGGAGAAAATAATGGCATGTTCATGAGAAATCAACAAAACCAGCCCAGTTTAAGTTTGTACCAGATGGGGTTCCAGCACTCTGATATTCATATCATTGGAAACTAAGTTCTTGGAACAAATTTAATTTCTGTCTGCTCTTGGTTAAAAGTTAACAACCAACTTTAAAGTTCCTGCACTTCTTGTTGAATTAGTTATTAACATGGAATCTGCTATTAGCAAGGACTTTAAGCTGAGTAAAACCACTTCAAACAGAGCAGATCACAGAGCCTGCCAAATAATATCTGATGACATTTATGATAATTAACATAAAATGGCACTGCAATAACCCACACTGAAAACCACAGGCAGAGCCTAGATCTGTGCTCTTAGAACTCAGAAGACAGGGTAAGTTCAGTCTCCAGCAAGGCTGTGAGGATTCTTCATAGCACCTTAAACGAACGCTTGAGTTTTTCTGCTGCTGTGTGGAAACAGGGGCTTAATAGAAGCATATCTTTAATTGCTCTAGTTGGCAATGTCTTCATCCTCAACTATGCCTCAAGTTTCAGCTTCAGCTATCCCAGTCTTTCCACTTTTCTTCATTTATATTAAATGCACACTGTTTCTAATTCATGCAGCCAGCAAATCCTGACAACTTTCATTTCTACTACATGCATTATTTCCTCGTATAGGTCATCCTCTGTCCCACTATGTTCTTTCACAGGATCAGATGTGGCAATCTGGTAAAGTTCCCACTGACTGGAAAAGGGGAAACATATCCCCTTTTAAAAAGGAAAATAATGAAGACCCAGGGATACTACAGGCTCAGTCTCCTGTGCCTGGCAAGATCACGGAGCAGATTTCCCCTGGATATTATACCAAGGCACATGGAAAGTAAGGAGGTGATTTGTGACAGCCAGCATGGCTTCACTGGCAGATTGGAGGGCCTTCCATGATGGGTGAGGGCATTGGTGGATGAGGGAAGAGTCATCTACCTGGCCTTGTGCAAACAGAGCACGTGACACTGTCCCACACAACATCCTCATCTCTGGACTGGAGATGCTCAGGGCACACCACAGTGGACAAGGATTTGGCTGGATGCTCACACTCACTGCAGTCACTGTCTCAGTGTCCCAGTGGAGAGCAATGAGCACCATTCCTCAGGGGCTGGGATGGGGCACTTTAACACTTTTGTCACTGCAAGGACAGTGGGACTGAGCACACCCTCAGCGAGTTTGCCCACAACACCAAGCTCTGAGGTGCAGTCAACACACTGGAGGGAAGGGATGCCATCCTGAGGGACATGGACATGCCTGAGAGCTGGGCCTGCACAAACCTCATGGAGTTCAACAAGGCCAAGCACAAGGTCCTGCACCTGGGCCAGGGCAATCCCAAGCACAAACACAGGGTGGGTGGAGAATAAAGCAATAGCAGGCCTGAGGTGAAAGATTTGGGGGTGTTTGTGGATGAAATGCAGCATCCTGTTGCAGCCCAAAAGGTCAAACACATCATTTTGCACACAGCCAGGATGTTCTTGGCTTTCTGGGCTGCAATAAAAGCAGTGTGGCCAGCATGGCAAGGAAGGTGATTCTCACCCTCTTGCTCTGCCCTGGTTACACCCCACCTGGAGTTCTGCATCCAGATCTGGAGCCCACAAATTAAGAAGGATGTGAACCTGATAGAGAGAACCCAGAGGAGGGCCACCAAGATGATCAGAGGGCTGGAACACCTGTACCATAAAGGCAGACCGAGAGAGTTGGGGTTGTTTAGTCTGGAGAAGAGAAGGCTTCAGGGAGACCTCAGAGCAGCCTTCATAATGGCAACTCGCTAGAGAGCTGGAGAGGGACCTTACAAGGGCATGTAGTAACAGGACAAGGGGCAATGGCTTTAAACTGAAGGAGGGTAGGTTTAGGTTAGATATAAGGGAGAGCTTCTGTTCTGTGAGGGTAGTGAGACTCCCTCTGGGAACAGGTTGCCCAGAGAAGCTGTGGATGCCATCCCTGACAGTGTTTCAAGGCCGGGTTGGATGGGGCTTTGAGCAACTTGATCTAGGGAAATATGTCCCTTTCTATGGCAGGAGGGCTGGAAACAGATGATCTTTAAGGACCATTCCAACCCAAATGATTCTAGTTTCCTATGAATTCTATGTCATGGGATCCTGGCTCTCAATATGTAACTTGGAGAAAAGTCTGCTGCAATTACTTGTCACTTCTTGTGGTAAACTTCTGTTTTCTGTTGTGACCTGCTACACACTTCTCAT